AAAACACGCGGGACAACCGCGGTGCATCCCGCCATCGCGCGGCTTCTCCATCCCCGCACGCACGTCATGCACGACGCGAGCCGAAACGGAGACCAGTCTCCCGGTTGGGGAATGATGCTCTATTTCGGCGTCATGTTCGACCCCGATATGAGCATTGCAACAGGCTCATGGCAGGGGAGGGATCTGCGGGACTGACTGAGGACGTTGCGCCTGGATCGCTGGAGTGTGTTGTGAGCCGCGTAAGGTGCGCATTTTGCGGCCAACTGGCCGTCTCCAGTTGTTCTGAGCCCAGCATGTCCCCAGTAGTGCTCTATCGGCTTATCCATGCGCTTCGGCCCAACTCACGCGACAGCGTGCTCCAGCTTTCTTCTAGCAGTGTCGCCGTTGGCGGCTCGTGACTTCGAAATACCAGCCGTTGTCCTCATTTGCTGATTCACGTCGGCTGGCCTGGAGTTGCCGCTTCGCCATCTATTTGTGACCCGCGTAGGTCGTTTCAAAGTGCAGCGTGACTCTGCTGGACTGCTGGACTCTGCTAGCGCTCGCGAGTGACCAGCGCATCAATTCTTATTATCTACATGTGATTCGCGTGGGTCGTTTCAAAGCCAGCTTTGACTGTGCTGGGTTGGGCGCGCACTCAGTCACTCGCGCACGCGGGCCTGCTGTGGGCGCGCATTCTTTACATGTGTCGAGCGTCTTTGCTCGTGAGTTGGCCAGCGCGCCCGTTCGGGCACGTCGTTGCGGTCGCGACTGTGACACGAAGCGCGACGAAGCGCTGGTCTGGAGAATTCGTGTCGCGAGGTAAACTACGCGCGCCACGGCCGCGAACCCAATCCAATGCGAAACCCCTCGCGCTGCGCCAACGGCCTGCGGAGACCGAGAGGCCAGGAACTGAGCTAGGAAGAGGTGGTGAAGAGGGAAGAATGGCAGATGCGTTCGTTTACATCGCCAGCCGCATGGCTCAAGAGTTTTGGTTTGTGGCTGGTGGCTGCGTCGTGCGCTTGCCGCGCATAATGCGTGAGGCGCTCGCACTCCCAAAGCAGAACGACTCATTGTACGTAGGCGTTTGTACCATGTCGCCTTTGAACACACAGACAAACGTTAACGGGGAGAAGCGGCAAGCGGGTGGTTTCGGGACTCTTCCACGGGCGTGCTCTTTAGCGCGTGTTGGTGGGTTCTTCACGGCGCAGGTTTTGGGTCAGATGTCTACTGCCTCGTCCGCGGTGGCTCGTTTAACTGCGCAAGTCTAAAGCCCGAGTCCGGCTTCCTCGTCCTCCTCAGCCTCTTCCTCAAGTGCCCCCTCTCCTTGGACGTCCTCCTCCAGCTTCATCATCTGCCAGCCTTTGCTGATGCCTGCCCTCTGCCCGCGGCATCGGTTTTCGATGGAGCTCTCGCGCACGCCGGCCGTTTATTGCAGGCTTCTCCGCGGTCTCAGCGGGTGTCTCCTCTTTACAGCCGTAGGACGTTGCGCATTCCAGCGGATGTGAGTACGAGGTGGATCAGGGACAACGCCAGGAGGTCAGGCCTGGGAGGGTGGGAACATCGACCCCCAATCGCATTTTCATCGCCCATCGGGGCCTGTGCGGCCTGGGCTGCCCAGGAACGTGAGGTTTTGCTATCGGGGGCCTATCGCCGATACTCGGGAATGCGTCGACGATTCAAGCTCGATGTGCTGCCCACTGATTGGTCCACCACGCTCGCCCTCCTCAGGACGATGGAAGGCACTGGCGTTTCCTAGCTCCATTGGCCAATTGCTCTTGTGCACCAATTCTTTCAATTTGCAATGTCCGCGAGCTGTGGGTAGCAGTAAGGAGGGGAAACAGTGGATGATTTAGAGCTATGTTTATTCGTTTCTGGTGCACGCTCTCTCTCTCTATCGCTCGTTTTTGTTTGTCTCTCTCTCTCTCTGTTGTTCTTTCTTTCTTTCGCTCTCTCTCAAGGCCACGGCCTCCACGCCATGATCTCATGGGTACGGGCTTGATTCCCTGCGAAGCGCGCGCGACTTTAGCGTTCGCTTCGCTTCGCTTCAAATATTTCAGTCTACCCAGACCCCTCTCGCTCTCCTCGTTTGATTGCTTGCGCGTGGGTGCTGAACGTTTGCTTGATGTTCTCCTGCACTGAGTCGTGTCTGCTCGGCTGGCCACTCATGGAGCACAGCTACATCATCCTTGATCGCCCAGTCCTACCATGGCGACGAAAGCCCCAAAGGAAGCCCATAATTTCGAAAAGAGGGCCCTCCGCCTCATCCTCCTCCTCTTCCTCCTCTACGTTTTCCTTCTCCCCCTAATCATCCCTCCTATGCCTTATCCGACCCCTATTCCTGTCCCTCCTCCTGCCCTTCCTCCGATCCAGTCTCGTCAGTACGGCATGGCAGTTCTTCCGCCCTGAAGCAAAACACGCTTGGAACCCATTCCAGGGGCGGGGGTGTTTTTTTCTTCCCCTGGACTCCCTCCAGAACCTCCGGCCGGTCAGAGACAGGTTGTTTGGGGTGTCAGGTGGGTCCCCCCCAGGCCCATCCTCAAAAACGCGGTGGGTTGGGAAACAACGTTTTAAACCATCTGAGAGGGGGGGGGGGGGCGGAAGGTTCTCCTTCCGAACTACCCCAAGAACCTTCTGTAAGGGTGACTTTTGGATGGGTCCCCCCCCCCTGACCCACCCCACAAAACCAGCTCAGGGAGGTGTTTTTTTCCCTGGGGGTGCGGAATTCCCGAACACCCCCTCAGGGTGGTTTTGTTTAGGAGGTTAAAGGCGTTTTGCCCCGAGCTTCGTGCAAAACCCTTCTGAGAGGGCGCCCCCCAAAAAAACAGTCAGCGGTTTCTTTTGCAGCGGTTAGGGGCGTTCCCCCCCGACCCCTTCAACAACAAAACCCTTGGAGGTGGTTTTGGACGGATTCGAGGGCTGCTCTCACACGGAACCTTTCAACACTTTCCCTCAGGAGGGGATTTGGGACGGGTCAGGGAGGCTGTCTTTCCCGAGCCCATGTGCAACATTTCTCCCCGTGGTTTTTGGTGGGATAGGGGGGCTCCCCCGCGTCGGGGACTTAGTTGGTGTGATTAGACGTTGTCGTTTGGGTGTGATTTTCTTTGTTTCTTAAGTTTATTATCCCTCTCTCTCTCTCTCCCTCTCTCTCTCTAGTTTGTTTGTGTCTCTCTCTCTCTCTTTCTCTCTCTCTTTCTTTTTTTTTTTTTCTCTCTCTCTCTCTCTCTCTCTCTCTTCTGCGGAGTATGACACATTGATTTCGTTCGTTGCGCCTAACAATTTGATTATTCCCTACCTAGGCTCTGCCTAGAAGGGTTCTTACTCTCTTAGCTTAAAGGGGCCGGGCAGTGTAAAGCGCCCCGGGCGGTTCCCCCAGTCCCCGCCCCGCGGTTCCCCCCAGTCCCCTGGGAGCTTTAGCTTTAGCTTTAGCTTTAGCTTAGCTTTAGCTTAGCTTTAGCTTAGCTGTAGATTAGCTTTAGCTTAGCGTTTCGCTTAGCTTTTCGCTTAGCGTTTAGCTTAGCTTTAGCTTAGCTTTAGCTTAGCTTTAGCTTAGCTGTAGCTGAGCTTTAGCTTAGCTTTAGCTTAGCTTTAGCTTAGCTTTAGCTTAGCTTTAGCTTAGCTTTAGCTTAGCCTTAGCTTAGCTTTAGCTTAGCTGTTGCTCAGCTTTAGCTTAGCTTTAGCTTAGCTTTAGCTTAGCTTTATCTTAGCTTTAGCTTAGCCTTAGCTTAGCTTTAGCTTAGCTTTAGCTTAGCTTTAGCTTAGCTTTAGCTTAGCTGTGTCTTAGCTTTAGCTTAGCATTAGCTTAGCTTTAGCTTAGCTTTAGCTTAGCGTTACTGTTACTACTAATGCTGCTTTCCTAGGGGTTCCAATTCCTAGGTAGGGTCGCACTGGGAGAATTTGTGTGGTGGATTGCACACTGATCCGCTTTGTAGCGGATTCCATGTTATTGTAGTGGCCTTCGGCCAGTGCCGCCGATCCGGGGCGCTCCGACTGATGTGATCCTTCTTCGCCCTCGTCCCTCCTCTCTTTTTCCCTCCCCTCCTCTCACTCAGCATTTATCCAGTGGCCGTCGGCCTATCCCGCCACCGTGCGTGGGTGGTGGGTCAGAGGCCTCATGGATGCTGGTTGGGATCTCGTGGTTGGCTGGGACTTCTGGGGGCCTCTTGGGCGCCTCTTGGGGCTTCTTGGGGGCCTCTTGGGCCTCTTGGGGCCACTAGAGGGCCTCTTGGGGGTCTCTTGGGAGCCTCTTGGGGCTTCTTGGGGGCCTCTTCTGCGCCCCTTGGGGCCTCTTGGAGGCCTCCTCGGAGCCTCTTGGTGCGGGAGGGGTGGTACTCGAGTTCGGAACCCCCTCGGAGGCCACGATCCTTGTGAGGGGTGTCAAAAAACGCATCCGCCGGAAACTCGCCCCCCCCCCCACCCCACCCCCCCTTCCCCGGCAGAGCCACCCCGGCAACCCCCCCAGAGGCTGAGGCTCAGCCTCGAGGCTGTAGCTGAGACTCCTTGAAACTCACACGCCGGATCGGCGGATTTCCTTTTGTGGCGGACTACAAAAGGATCCCTTCTGTTGCGGATTACGACGGGATTCTTTTTGTAGTAGGTTACAAAGTAATTCTTTTTGTGGCGGATTATCGGCTCGTCCATCGGCTGATTTCGACGGGCATGAATTCCACTGGACGTGAGTTCGTAAGCGCTTGAGTTTCGCAAGCTCGTAAGTTTGAGTATGCGCCCGAATTTCGTTGGGCATGTCCTCTGCGGACGCCTGGCCCAGCCCCTCCGCCAAAGCTTGGCAAACCGAGCTGGCGTGCAATCAAAGACGTTCCCTCCCCTTCCTCACCTCCCCGACCCCGCTCCCTCCTCCAACCCCCTCCCCCCCCTCCCACGTCCCTCCATCCACTCCGCCGCCTCTCTCACTGTGTTTGTGTCCCCCCCGTCCTCCGCTCTCTTCTGGGGCCGCCCTTGGCGCCACTCATCTTGTTCGTCCGACTCATCTTTGCTCCTCCGTCTGTTCGCTCCTCGCGGCGCAGGAACGCAGCAGAGGCCTTGCGGGTTTCGCTGGGCCGGGAGCCAGGCATGGTGTTCGCCGTGGCGGACGCTCGGGGCGTCCAAGAGGGGTGTGTGGATTACAAAGGTGTGGATATCATGGCTGGAGACGCGAAATCTTTCAGATGTCATTCATGTCCCTTTCTTCGTCTTCTTTGTCTTCTTTGTCTTATTATGTTTCCTTTTCTTCTTCTTCGTATTACTAAGTTTTTCTTCTTATTATTCCTCTGCTTCTTTCAGTACGGCCCCAGGCCCCACTTCGTCCGCACACATGCTTCGGGCAGTGATAGTTCCCTACCTAGGCTCTGCCTAGAAGGGTTCTTACTCTCTAGCTTAAAGGGGCCGGGCAGTGGAAAGCGCCTTGGGCGGTTCCCCCAGTCCCCGCCCCGCGGTTTCCCCAGTCCCCTGGGAGCTTTAGCTTTAGCTTAGCTTTAGCTTTAGCTTTATCTTAGCTTTAGCTTAGCTTTAGCTTAGCTTTAGCTTAGCTTAGCGTTTAGCTTAGCTTTAGCTTAGCTTTAGCTTAGCTTTAGCTTAGCTGTAGCTGAGCTTTAGCTTAGATTTAGCTTAGCTTTAGCTTAGCTTTAGCTTAGCTTTAGCTTAGCTTTAGCTTAGCTTTACCTTAACCTTAGCTTAGCTTTAGCTTAGCTTTAGATTAGCTTTAGCTTAGCTTCATCTTAGCTTCAACTTAGCTTCGGCCTAGCTTTAGTTTTAGCTTTATATTTAGCTTGGCTTTAGTTTAGCTTAGCGTTAGCTTAGCTTTAGCTTAGCTTTAGCTTAGATTTAGCTTAGCTTCAGCTTAGCTTTACCTTGGCTTTAGCTTAGCTTTAGCTTAGCTTTAGCTTAGCTTTACTGTTACTACTAATGCTGCTTTCCTAGGGGCTCCACTTCCTAGGTAGGGTCGCACTGGGATAATTGTATCCCCTCTTTGTGGCCTCCCTCTCCGGCGCCCCCGAGGACGCATGCGTGCACGGGGGCCCCGCGTTCCTCGAGCTAACCGCCATGTCGCGCCCAGGCTTGGTCGGACCCCCGCGTTCGCTCAGCGGGTGCGTTCGATTGTAGTGGCCTCCGGCCAGTGCCGCCGATCCAGGGCGCTCCGGGTGCCTGTGGAAATGAACGACGACGAGGAAGACGAAAACGACGACGACGAAAACGAATACGTCGACGACGACGACGAGAGCGACGACGACAACGACCATGACGACGACGACGACGACGACGGCGATGACGACGACGACGCGAGCGACGACGACGACGACGACGACGACGACGATGACGCGAGCGACGACGACGACGACGACGACGACGCGACGACAACGACGACGACGACGACGGGGTGGGGGGGAGCTGGGTTGCAGGGGGGGGGGGGGGTGCTCTGCAGGGGGGGTCCGCTCGGCAGAGGGAGGGGCTGCATGGGGAGAGGGGGGGTCCGCTCTGCAGGGCGGGGGGGGGCTGCAGGAGGGGGGGTCTGCTCTGCAAGGGGGGGGTGCAGGGGAGGGGGGGGGGTCCGCTCTGCAGGGGGGGTGGGGCGAAACACTGAATCAGGTCGGAATTTGGTCGGAAATTAGGTCGGAAATTAGGTCGGAAATGAGGTCCCCCCCCCTCTCGGCAGAGCGAAGCTTGAGCGAGCTCAAGCCCACGCTCTCAGAAACTCACACGCCGGATCGGCGGATTTGCACGCGAGGGTGACGGTTCGCTGGTATGACGTTTGGTGCGGGCTCATCGGGGTCCCTCGATCAGTGAGCGCGATGCGACAGGAGCGGCTTGCGCGCCTGGGTCTGGTGCCCCCGCAACCGCCCGAAAGCTGCACACCATGGGGCATTCTTGCCGATGGGTGGGCTCGGCGCCCCTGGCCACGAAGGAAAGGGTCCTGAGGGCAACGGTTCCCCGAGGCTCCCCCCAGGACCCGCTCTTCATTCTGGGTCGTGATTGGACGGCCCTGGTGCTTGTGGAGGCCCAATGAGCCTGAAAACTGGTAAAAACTTGAGTTCCCCGTTCATCGCTGGCCCACTTCTTTCACGCTTCCTTCCTCGAGTGAAAGATCGCATGAACACGTAATTACTGTCGGAGGTCCGTGCGGATCTTTTGGATCGGCGTGGACCCCTTTTGGCGGCGCCTCCGGCTCCGCCCCTGGCACGCTTCGCGCGCCAGTGGCGGCTAAGACATCCGAGCGGACCTCCAGAAGCTCATATTTATGTACGTGTTTTATCGGCCCGTCCCGCCTGGGCCCGTTCCACCCTCTGTGGGAGTGTGTATAGACCAGCGAACTCGGCTTGGAGCACGCTCGACCCTTACGCCATGGGCACCTCAAAAATCAGCAGAGTCCCTGCTAATGTTCACTTTCAATTGCAGCGTCACCAGTTCGATTAATAATTGAGCCACTTGCTCGCTGCTTAGGCAAACACGTATGTGCAGGTTCCTGGTGCACGATTGACAATGATGTTGTGATGCTCCGTTCTCAGTGAGAGTACGTACGCCATGGGTCCTTCGAGCGTTAGCCTAAACATGAGCAGTCGCGCGCACATGTCACACTGCAAAGCCCATGCAGCATTCAAGCGGTGCAGAAAATACATGCAGCAATCAAGAACGGAGTGCACGCGCTGACGCAACCTTCTCATTGGGAGGGCTACTGGCTGCGCAATTGCCTCAAGATCGTTGCTGTCCCCGTTGCAAAGTTCGTCCAGTCCACCTTTTCGTTTTCCATCCGCGCCCTCCTGCGCCATAATTCCTCCTAGCTGAGGTCAGATGGTCCTGGACCACCAAACAGGCTGTCCGGGGCCGTGCAACCATTCCTGGCGGCTGTCCCTTGGGGTATTGAAACGAGCAAACCGCCTGAGACATCCTCACAGCCCACTTTGAAAGCTAAGAAGTCTGGGCCAACAAGCAGGCACACCGATGAGACATCCCCCAAATCTGGCCGCGAACGGGGCCCTCGCCACGACGTGCTCCTCGCCCGAGTCTGCCCCGAACTTCCCCTTGGGACCATGGCTGGGCAATGGGACCGGCGGTAATTCGAAGCGCACCGAACTCGGGCCAGCGGTGGGAGCGGGGACCCCCGTCGCGACAGCCCTCGGGGATCTCCCCTTCGGGCGTCGACCGCATCGGCCTGTCGCCCAGGGCTGCGGCTGCCGCGGCTCCGGCGACGAAGCCCAGCGAAGAAACCGACGGGGGGTTTTGGGGCTGCGATCGCTGCTGCTGCGCGGCCGGCTTCGCCACCCAGGTGGACAAGGCAGAGAGTGCGACGGTCCCAACGGCCTCCCGGTAGCACGGCAGGTGGGAGCCTTTGTCCTTGAGCCGCGTCCCCTGGTACACCAGGCCGTGATGAGCGCAGAGGCAAGCGGTGGCGCTGCGCCCTTTTGAGGGCGGCGGGAGATCTGAGGCCCAGCCGTCCTCGCGCAGGAGCGTGGTCGGCTCATCCCAGGCTGCATCGTAGAACGTTTTCCTTTATTGCTTGGGGCATGACGGGCGTCATGGCCATCGCCGCCCCCCCCCACCCCCTGTGACGGAACGCTCCCCCCCCCAGTGCGCTCTGGGCAGGGCACTGCCGCCGTGCGCATCGGGATCCGCATAGGTGTCCGCTTAGAAATCCGCATAGGAGTCTGGTCCGCAGTCGTCGTCGTCGTCGTCGCCGCCGCCGTCGTCGTCGTCGTCGTCGTCGTCGTCGTCGTCGACGTCATCGTCGTCGTCGTCGTTGTCGTCGTCGCTGTCGCTCGTCGCTCATCGTCCTCGTGTGCGCGGATGCGGCTGGAGCCTGTTTTTAAATTCCGGGCCGATGACGGCAATCATCTTGGGGGGGGCGGAGAGGGCCGATGACGTCAAGTTTCGCGACGGTGGCGTCTGGGAATGCTTGGGAATGACCGAGGACGGGTAGCAGCAGCATGTAGTTGGCGATCTGCACCACAACGCCTGTGCACACCACAGTGCCTGCGTGCACCATCGCGCCTGCGTGCACCATAGTGCCTGTGTGCACCACACCGCGTATGTACATCACAGCAGCCGCGTGCATCACAACGCCGGTGTGTGCCACACTGCCTGCGGGCACGCGTACACAACATCATCAGTGCGCAACAAAGTTCAATGTACACCACAATGCCCGCGTGCTCTACAGCGCCTGCTTACACCGCGGCGCCTGTGTGCACCACAGCAACCGTGCGCAACATAACACCATTGCTGCACATCGAATTTTAAAACGCTCATGGACGACAGATAATAGTATATACTAGAATATACAAGGTTCGCGAAGCTAATGGACGTGAATAGAATCGAATAGACAATCATAGAATTTAGAAAGACTCATGGATAACAAAAGACAGAATTTAGCAATGTAGTAGAATTCCGAAGGGATCCTTATGACAAAATGGAACGCGGAATCCACGGGGACAAATTGATTGGTACAGGATGTGGAAAAGGAGTCCTTATGGAGAAAATAGCGCCGAGGGAATGAGTTCCACTGAGCCCGCCCGCATCATCCTAGCTCCTCCCATTTGCGTCCACGATGATCCAGCAAAATTGGCCGTCCGAGAACCAAGCGGACGGATATTCTGCGGTGCGCGCTGATATGCGCACGTGCGTAATAGTTCCGACCCGCACGACATTGGGGAAGGGTGAGGGAGGAGGAGGAACAGGAGGAGGAGGTGGAGGAGGAGGTGGGAAGTAGGAGGGGAACATGTCGCATTCTATTATCAACAGTTTTCTGGCGTGGCGTTTAGCTGTCCGCGGCAGATCCTCACATACGTGTTCCTTTTGCCTGTCGTGTGCACGCAAGCGCCGTGGTGTACCCCAGCGTTGCGTTGCACTCGGGTGCTGTGGTGTACACAGGCGCTGTGTTGCACATGGTTGCTGCGGTGTACATATTCGCTGAGGTGTACACCAGCGCTGTGGTGCACGCAAGCATTGTGGTGAACACAGGCGGTGCGTTGCAGACGGCTGTTGCAACGTACGCAGGCGCAGTGGTGTACATTCGCGCTGTGGTGCACGCGAGCATTGTGGTGTACACATGCGCAGCGGGGCAGATCACCACCTACATGCTGCTCGCGTCGTCGTCGTCGTCGTCTCTGTCGTCTGTCGTCGGTCGTCGCTCATCGTCGTCGTGCGCGCAGGCGCGGCTGTGGTGCAGGAACCACACGGCGGGGGGCGTTACGTCATACCCCCCCGCCCCCTTCCACCCCCCATGACGCCCGTCATCGCCGAAAATAAATAAACTCGCTCGTAACAGCGCGAGAGGGCGCATACCGCTCGAGAGTGCAACTCCGGCTTTGACCGCCTCGCAGGGGCGGTCTTCCTGCTCGACCTCCGATTCCGATTTGTGGTCGAGAATTTTAGACACGCCAGCTGCCACGCCATGCGCCGTTTCGCCAGCCGCAGTGCGACGGCGGTGACGCCAGCAACAACACTTCCCGCCACAGTTGGGCGCGAATCCATAGGGGTGCAATAAGGAGGGGGCAACGGGGGCTGCAGAACATAGGCCCCGCAGGGCCCGTTTAGGGCCCCTACAAGGAGCCCGCTAGGGCTTCAGAAGGGGGCCTTCTACGGCCCGAAAAAGGCACCTTTCATCCCCCCCATGTATCGCCCCCCCTTAATTCGCGTCCCAACACAGCAGATCACACATCCAACGAGTAGGGCTCCGCGCCAGGACAGCCGAACCCCCCCGTCAAAGACGCGCCACACAATTGTGAGCCTTCGGCAGGTGGTGAACTTGGCGTGGGCGCCCACGTCGACGATGCCCTCGGAGTCGAGGGCTGCGTACTCCTGGCTGTTGATGTCTCCTTCCTTGACCTTGCCGCGGGTGGCGCGGCCGAGGGATAACCTCATGGGTTCGGCTTGCTCAAGCGGTGTCGTAGCACGCGGGAACTATCCATTTCACCGTTCGCGGTTTATTCGCAAGCTCGGCCAGCTTGTGCGATTTATGGGTTGCGGGCCAGCGTGGAGGCGAGTCGCGTGCGCGTCGATCTTGTTGAGGACGTCGGCGAAGTATTCGGAGGAAGTCGTGGGCGCCATGCTCTGGCCTGCCCAGGC